CATCATCATATTCGTCCATCCATGTCAAATCACGAGCATTCATCATCATATTCGTTCATCCATGTTGAAGCATCCCACATCATTTTCCTCACGATTGATATTTGTTAGCTTTAAATCCAAAGTAATCTTATTGAAAAATGTCAACATATTCTTTAAAATTAATAAATATTTTAAAACATGGTAATTTGAATTTTGAAATTTTAACATTAGACATGTTGCATAAGSAAAAAGGGCTTTAGTATATCAAGTTGATTATCTTAGTTGCTTTCATTGATGAATTTGYTATTGCCTCACGCACATTAAACACGTGACCTTGTGTAATCAGTTCAGTTTCTGGATCCCTTTTGACCGTCAAAATACAAATGAGGAAACTGGTTTGATATCTTATTAATTTATTATGTTATTATGTCGATTTGTTTAAATAGTGAATTGCATCACTACTTAATACTGTATCACTCTTGAATTTTCTGATTATTACATTGAATTCCCCCCCCCGTTTGTAGTTCGTATCCGATTTTCGGATGCCTGAAATAAGAAACATTAAAATGTTTAAGTTAAAAAGTCAGAGTTTATTTTTAAACCTAATTTTTTTGTATCAAAAGATAGCAAGGTTCCTTTTTCCTAAGTTTGAGAATTTTGCCGAGAGAGCCYTGACTCGTAGTCTCCTACGCAGCCGCTATTAGTGTCGTTATATATATATTTTTTTACGCCTCATGGCTGTGCAGGAATTTTTTTGGATATAATTTGGAATTTTTTTCTCTCACTTTTCTTATGCACTTTTTTTTTCGCTCTTTAAAGCTGTGCTCGTTTTTGTTTTTGTTTTTGCCCAACCCCACCCCACCTCAAAAATCTAATGGTCCGTCCCTTCGTCACTAAGATCGGTAGTCTCTCTTGCGTGACATCTGAATGAAATCCGATGTGGGGGTTTGTCAAGCAAAAGCAAACAACGACCGCGGACAAGGTCCGAAGAGGTTCCAAGCAAACTTTCAAGCGTTTAATCCCTCCCCTATACCACACAACTTCAAGCCTAATCACCGTGGCAGGAATYGTGTGTCACACTTCAGAGTATATGTAACAGGACGAACAAGCGATTGCACAGGAAATATTTCATCTTAGCGAAGGATATGGAGCGACAAATAACTTCACATTTAGTCATCCGTAACGGTAGGGTATTAGACCCTGCTAATAGCTTCGATGGAATCGCTGATGTAGAAATCCAAAATGGCAAGATTGTCAAGGTTGGAAAAGACCTAAATATTCAACTCAAGCCAAACGAAGAGTTTGATGCYACGGGCTGTCTTGTGACCCCTGGTTTGATCGACTTCCACGCTCATGTTTATCAGTACGCTACTCCTCTAGGAGTGAACCCTGACGAAACTTGTCTTGCTAGAGGCGTTACAACAGTAGTGGATGCAGGCAGTGCAGGTATGTAACTGTTGTTGGTAAAGGCTTTGTTGCATGGTGCCGTGCTGCTTACTAAGCTTGAAATGTATTCTATTCACATGCAAACCATTGTGACATTTTGCTGAACGTATTCACATCACCCATTTTGCACTTCCGGCTTTGTATGCAACATACACCTTGCAACAAAACATTCACCAATTTGTTTTGAAATAGCTGTATTTGGTCCCCTGCATYTGAATCGGAAGACTAATAGCAAATYCATYTRAATTATAAAAAATCGGAACCTAAAAGRCCTGAATCCATAACCAACAAAGAGACAAAAAGCCTCCTTCCTATTCATCTAAAGACATRAAAATATCATGCAATAAAACTGCCTAATTTCATTTGTGCTAGCTAAAGTGTGGTTCTTTAACATGGAGCCCATCATGATCAACTTGCTAGGTGTTCTGAAACCTTTGCTATCCTTCAACCCTCCCCTCCTCCCCACCACACCCCCCCCCCACCCCTACACATACACACACAACCAAAATTAAAAGTGATCCAAAGTCTGTAAGATAATGATAACCTTGATATTTAATGTAGGTGCAAGTACCTTGCCAGGKTTGCGGAAGTATATCATGGAAAAGAGCAAGACAAGAGTTCTTTGTTTTGTGCATGTTGCATCCCATGGACTCAGTGCTGCTGGATGTGCTGGTGTTGGTAATTAAAACCTTCATTTCAAATTTTATTGATACCCTGAAACATTACCTTTGGACTGATCTATGTTTGATGGAAGGTTTGAATTTTGATGGAAAACCTGTCCCAGGTTTTGAATTCAGCAACGCTCTCCACATCAAACAATAGAAATAGGGCGTGGTTGGTTCCAAATAACTGATCAAAATGGAGGAAAATTAGAGAAAAACCCCTTAAATCAAAGAAAAGACCTATATAAACAAAATCTTAATACATGTAATACTGAGTCTAGGAATCAAATCTGAGATCCAAGAGGTCAGAGAGATGATTGTTATGAACGGAAGAATTCTTAAACCTCTTTACCTCCATCCCTAGATCCACCCTTGATATTTTATACTTCCTATGAATTCTTGTCCAATAATAAATCTCCATTTTGTACAGTAAAGGGTGGTGAATGTGATTCTCTCAACCAAGTTGATCCAGAGTCGTGCGCAAAATGCATCCAAGAAAACAGRGAAGTAGCAGTTGGTGTCAAAGTACGATTAAGTTGCTCTGTCACTAATGATGGTCAATTTGAAGAGGAAGCTTACAGGTGCACTATAGTCTTCTAACTTTTCATAACACTGTTATATATTGTCAATCAATCACCAACAAGACTTCCAGTACATGATAATTTTATATGTGCAGATAAAGTATATGTAGGTCATTAGAAAACTAGGTATTTACAAAAGGGCCATCACATCTTATGGAAATGATTGAGCTAGTTAGCTGCTTCAACCTTGTGGCACCATCAGTTGCATTGCTGTTCTGACTGATGTGTGCCACAATATGGCAACCATACAGTGGCAGTGTCTGTCACAGTCTGTAGCAATCTGGCAATGTGTGCCAATGTGTACCATAGCTTGTGACATCTTGGCAAAATGCCTTTGATTTTTTTCTGATACCATCTGCAACAAATTGATTTTCAAAAAGTAACATTTGGTTCTCTGSCAACATGAACCAGTGCAGTCTGCAGCAGCCTTTTGTCTCTGGCAATGTAAAAGTGGTCCCAGCTAGCTATGTGTGTCAGGCTGCACACTATAACCCAACTGCACCATGTTTTGTGTTTGATATGGGTATTTTTCTTCTTTTTGCAGGAGAGCYCTGAGAGCATCARCAGCAGCTGGTGTGCCATTGATGGTCCACTTTACTCATTCATCAATCTCAGTGAATGAAAGCCCAGGTAAGCAATTGAGTTTCAGACATTTTGATGGGGTCAAAAAWTTTTTGAATACCCCATCACAATATTTATAATAGGGCTAATTTTGTGTTAATTGCATGCATTTTTTTAGTTCAGGCCACATGCCATTTTGCCGAGACTCATTCAGTGTTACCTGTAATGCATGAGGACATATAGTACTTATAATATTTTGATGAGGCTCAAACAAAGAATGTTAGAAAATGTAAAGCTGAGCCAACATTGAGAAATTAAGTGTATAGCATGAAATTGTACATGTATCTTTTAGATGCTGGCCAGTTGACTTGTCCAGGAAACCTAAAGAAAGGAGATATTCTCACTCATGTCTTTCATGCCCATCCGAGTAGCATCATCAATCCTTCAACAAAGAAGATCCACCCATCTATTCACCAAGCTAGAAGGCGAGGTGTATTGTTTGACATTGGACATGGATTTGGGTCCTTTTCATGGACAGTTGCAGAGATATGTGCAAAGGAACAGTTTTGGCCTGATATGATTAGTACTGACTTACACACCAAGTCTCTTGATGGACCTACCTATGATCTTCCAATGGTAATGTCAAAAATGTTGACTGTTGGGATGCCTTTGGTGGACATCATCAGGGCAGTCACCATAACACCAGCATCAGCTATTGGGTGGCAAAGTAAGATAGGTTCTTTGAGTCCAGGACTAGTAGCTGATGTTACAGTGCTGAGGGTAGAAGATGTTGATATGGAAATAGAGGACAGTCAAGGCCAAGTTAGACAAGCTGAGAAACTCTTGATACCTGTTGCTGTATGGAGGGATGGAAAACGTTTCATAGTAAGAAAACCAGACCCACTACCAGGCAAAAACACAACAAGACTGATCGAGAACTGGGATGGCCTTATTGTAAAGGATAACAAAAAGCCTACACCATTGGAATGACATTGCCATTAACTTGAATATGAACAATAATTCTATTGTATTTTAAAATAAAAGCTAGCAATAATAAATTCCAACATTTTGCTTTTYCCCACATCATTATCAAGAGTGACAAGCTAAGTTTCAGTGGACGGTGTTTACTAATATTATTAAGTAAATAGTCTTTAATTATATAGTAAATGTTTAAAATGTATTACTTATTGAAGCCATTGAATTTGCACTGAGATATAATATTCCATTGGTTAATAATAATGATAATAATATAAATTAGACTCTTATTGCACATGTAATTAATGTGGGTATTAACACGTTTTAGGGGACATATTTCCAATATGGCAGCTATTCGATAAAACAGCCCCAAAATTCACTGTAATGACAACCCAACCGAGATTTTTCTCAATCTTGGTATGGCTAATAACCCTGTCTTAAATAATAAGATCCACTGTCAGACTGTTCCATACACTCATGTTGCTCTTTATATATACTAATGCTATCTTTTCCCTTCCTAACGAATCTAAATAATATCTTAATATCATATAAATTAATAAGGTTTAGGTTATTTTAAAGAACAGAAACCGTATACCTAAAATGGTACCTTTATACTTTTCTTTTTATATTCTTTTTAATTCTGGACTACTAGCTTAAACTTTTAAAAATTTCTGATTTTTAAAAGATAATTTATTTTAATGCTTTGTTGGTAACATCGTGGTGTACGGGTTAACCAAGTGTGTCATAGGTTTTCAAGCACACGAGTGGGACTTAGAGGATTTTGGTTCTCCTCACTTGGAAATAAAAATTTAATGGCAGGCAAGATTCGAACCTGGCACCCTTGGCACCAAATGACATTACATTGCCTATCCCAACCCTAAACCTAACCGTTCAACCATGAAGTGAATTGGCTTGAATGCTTTCCAATTTTTGTCATTTAAAATGATGCTTCATTATTGAATGCACAAATTTATTTATTATAGTATAATATATGCTATCGTAGGACACAACTACTAGCCAAATTAATTTGCATATCGCAATTTGAATTTCRAATAGAATCCCCCTGACAATTCCCGTACATCACAATACTACCCCTTTTTTAATGAACAATATATGCAAATCTTAAATTTTTATAAGGCAAAGCAATGCAAAAATGGGAAACTACTATTATCCAAAACTATCACATATCAATATATTGCCCTATCTTTAATTTCCCTTGTCATAAATTTATCTTCCTTCTATAATAGGAATATAATGATCCATAC